GAGAACGCAGCCTGACCTAGAACTTACTATACAGAGAGCACAGGCTGGCCTGTACTCCAATTTGTGCTCATACTCCTTCAGTCTCCTAAGTGCTGAGATCAGAGCCCTCACCACCATGTCAAGCTATCTGGCTGCTGTTCACATAGTCTTGTCATATTGTCCAGGTAGGTGTCAAAGGATTTGAGCATCTAAGCATCCAGTGTGCTAAAGTACAGGCATCTGCTACCATGTCCCAACTGTAATACGTTTTTTGATTGATTCTTCTACCCAACCCCTATGCTGGGGAACGGCCCAGGGTCTTGTACCAACTAGGCAAGTACTCTACCACTAAACTATACCCCATCCCTATGTAGCTCAAGCTGGCCTCACTCCAAACTCCCAGATCTCCTATCTCAGGTTTCTGAGTGATGGTATTATAGGTGTTTATATTTTCTCAATTATTTCTACCACCCTTCTTAATATCCTTTTGTTATTTGAGAATCATAAGAGCTCTGAAGAACTAAGGGAATTAGCTGGGCATGGTGGCTTATGGTCCTCACTCAGGAGGCTGAGGCTGAAGAACTATCCCAAGTTTTGGCCTAGACTATATAGTAACTACCAGGCCAGTCATGGCTAATGTTAAATAAAATACATGTAAGAAATTGTATCAACCTTACCCCAGACGTCAGATTTGATTGAAAAGGTATTATAGGCCAGACTCTCAGGTGCCGTCCATTTAATAGGGAATTTGGCTCCAGCGTGAGCAGTGTAGGTGTCTCCGGTCATCAGTCTACTTAAACCAAAGTCAGCAACCTTCACCACATGGTTTTCGCCCACTAAGCAGTTCCGTGCAGCAAGATCTCTATGGGAAAGAGCCCTGCATTATTCCAGCTGATGGTGAGAAAGATGGGTGTCAACACGCTAGTCTTGGTTCTGTGTGTTACAGGCAGAGTTGATAAGGAGATGCTAACTAACATTGTCATACTTTATGATATATGATAATCACCAGTATGGAAACTCACTAATTTCTACCACTCATTGAGTACCCACAAAGAGGCAGAAAAAAGACGTTGGACAAAATGAATTCCTTTTTAAATATAATGGGATAGATTTCAAGGGGGAGCAAAAGACCCCTCCCTGAAGGCTTTAAAATATTTTCCTAAGACAGAATGGCACTTCAAAAATTTGGCCACTAGGTGGAACAAAAGGATCTTGGGTGAAGTGTTAAATGAAACAGCTTTCTGGTTTGAGACCGAAACAGAGGAAGCCTGTGTATGAAATGGTCTGCCAACTCTCTTCCTTCACGTCAAGCAAGACAGCTCTGTGGTTAGTCATCGCAATAGTCAGCTTCACACACCTATGAATGAAGTTCTTCTTCTCCAAATACTCCATGGCAGAAGAGATCTGAGTCGCCATGTAAAGCAGAACAACTGCTGTCACCTCCTCGCGGTTGCATTCCCGGAGATAATCCAGCAGATTCCCGTACGGCATGTATTCAGTCACAATGTAGAACGGCGGCTCCAGGGTACACACACCTGACCAAGAACAATTGACAATCTTCATCACATTCTATGAAATAAATACAACACATCTTACACTGGCTGGTAAATCTGTTCCACCATGTTGTCCTCTGCAGCTTCACAGACCTTTTCAGCATCTGCCTGTGAAGCAAAAGCAATTTCTTACCTTAACCCAAAAAGGAGCAAGACCAACATTTCTAGAGCTCTGTATGTGTCCACTCCCCTTCAACTGGGTGCAAACCACATTAATTTAAAGTAACAGAACTTAGGCCTATGCTGATGCTCACTTGCTTCTAACTACTTTGTAAAAAAAACTATCTTCATAGTCAAGAATTTCACTAATAAATGGCAGATTCCATATTAATTGTCTTTCTTTTGGCATAGCTTAGTTTAATTTGAACATTCAAAAAAAAAAAAAAAGGAAAAGAAAAAAAGTTAAGCTGGGCAGTGGTGGCGCATGCCTTTAATCCTAACACTTGCGAGGCAGATCTCTGTGAGTTGAAGGCCAGTCTGGCCTACAGGGTGAGTTCCAGGACAGCCAGTGCTACACAGAGAAACCCTGTCTTGGAAAACAAAACAAGAACAGAAAAGGCCTGATTTTTAAAAAGCAAAAATGTTTACTCAAAGGCTCCTTTGTAGCCCAAACAAGTAAGAAACTAGCCCATTGCAGCATATGCATTTCTTGCTTGAATAAACTGATCAGTCACAAATTTTAATTCACTTTTTCCAGTGATTCTTTGTTTAATGTCTCCTAACAGTTCATGACAATTTTTGATGCCATCTTGAAGGCTTGTGAACTTTGAATCTGGGAAAACTACAAATTGGACATGTTTACACAATGCAATCAATCTGTGGCTGGAGAGATGACCAGGCAGTTAAGAGCACTGGTTGATCTTTCAGAGGACTGGGGTTTGATTCCCAGAATCCACATGGCAGCTCACAACTATCTATAACTCTAGTTCTAGGGGATCCAATGCCCTCCCTCTGGCCTCCAAAGGCACAAGGCACATGGAACACATATGGTACATAGACACACATATAAGCAAAACACCCAAACACTTTAACTGAGTAAAGAAAATTTAAAGGGGCTGGAGAGTTGGTTCAGTGGTTAAGAACTCCAGTTCCAGGAGATCCAATGTCCTCTTCTTATTTCCTTGGGCACTGCAGATGTATATAACCATACAAAACATATACACATATAAAATACAGTGAAAAATAAAGTTTTTTTTTAAAAGCCATCAACTTGAGCCACTGTTTTTTGTTTTAAGAAGTCTACTAATAAAAGGAGAAGTGATGTGCCTGTGTGCGCATGTGCCTGTGTGCGCATATGCCTGCATATGTGTATGTGTTTGCAGTACTAAGTCTAAGACTTGATGCTTACTAGCTCTACTCCCGGTCTGCATCCCCAGCTCTTGACAGGATTTAATGCAGTCAATTTACAACTAGCATTTCCACCATGGTGCTAAAACAAAACAGAACAATCTGCAAAAACATGATCTGAATACAACAAAGGGCTGGGATGGGAGTGTGGATCTGAGGAAATCTATGGTTTGGGGTTCTTACCTAACAGTTGTACTAAGTTAGGATGCTTGATTTCCTTCATCACTGCTGCTTCTTTCAGGAACTCTTCTACCTCCATGGTATCTTCCTGTTAAAGGTAAAGTAGGTAAGAAAGAAAGACTTATTCATTTAAGTCAATTCAAAGCCTACTTGAGGCATTAAAGTAAAAGGTGGCTGGCTGGAGAGATGACTCAGTAGTTAAGAGCACTTGTTGCTCTTGCAGAAGACCTAGGTTTGGTCCCCAGGATCCACATGGCAGTTCAAACCATCTGTAGTTACAGGGACTCTGATGCCCTCTTCTGGCCTCCCTGAACACTGCACCTATGCGGTGAACTTTAAATGTAGACAAAAACACTCATACACATAAAAGTATTTTTTTTATGTAAAAGGGATCACATTTGAGTATTCTAGCATATTATCTTAAGTTAATCTTACTACATACAACCTAATATGTTCTACAGAAGAATAACTAAGAATACTGTCTTTGAACTTATCCAATGACAGACATTGGAATAAAAATGAAAATAAACAGGGCAAGCAAAATTCAACAGCCTCATCTTACAACTCACCACAGCAGAGGGCTGAGATTCAGTTTTCTGGCAGGTTAGTGTTTGACCTTCTGATTAGATCCTGGGATTTTTTTTTTTTTAAAAAAAAGATTTATTTATTTATTTATTTATTTATTTATTTATTTATTTATTTATTATGTATACAGCATTCTGCCTGCATGTATGCCTGCACACCAGATGAGGGCACCAGATTTCATCATAGACGGTTGTGAGCCACCATGTGGTTGCTGGGAATTGAACTCAGGACCTCTGGAAGAGTAGTGAGTGCTCTTAACCTCTCAGCCATCTCTCCAGCCCGATCCTGGGATTCTTTTTATTTTTTTTTAATTTTTTAATGATTTATTTATCTTTATTTTATGTTCATTGGTGTGAAAGTGTCAGATTCCCTGGAACTGGATTTTCAGACAGTTGTGAGCTGCCATGTGGGTGCTAGGAATTGAACCTGGGTCCTCTGGAAGAGCAGTCAGTGCTCTTAACCGCTGAGCCATTTCACCAGCCCCTGATCCTGGGATTCTTAAAGAACAAAGCACATGTGCATGGCCTCACTGCTCCCTTCACACTCAGGATATGCTAGTAAACACGGCTGAGCTGACTATTACTCATGAGAATAGCTCACATGAATGATACACCAGGGTACTGAATGACTGACAACTCTGTGATTTTATACCAGGGTGCTTAAAAAAGGGACAGTAGAGTCAGAAAAAGAACGTTTATGAATTTAAAAACAAGAAGTGATTAGCAGGACAAGGTAGTGCATACCTGTAAGCTTAGCAGTTAGAGGCTGAGGCAGAGGATCATGACTTGAAGACCAAGCTGAACATTTTTACTTTAAAAAAGGGTGCCTCAATTGTAAGGAGGCATAAGGGAGAAACAAAAGGCAGGGGGATAGAGACCAAAATAGGGAGCTTATGATCGCATGGAGAATTCTGTTCAGCAGGGGCTGTTCTCAGCAGAACTTATAATTTGCTTCTAAATCCCAACACGATCTCTATCAACAGCCTCCAGAGACAAGCCTTCCCCGCACGTGGGTTGTTCTGCAGGGAATAATCTGCCCCTGCACTGTCAGCAACGGCACTAGGGTTAATCACCACCATTTGCTGAAGTGTTTGGCACCAGTGGGTGGAAAGTGTTCCAAAGTTGAAGAAGGGCACACAGATCTTTCCAAGTGATTCAGCACACACACAAACATGCCTGGAAACTTAACTCTCAGCAACCCACCTTCAGTGTTTTCACAGCAACTGTAAGGCTGTATTTCTTCCAGACACCAACATAAACCTCTCCATACTGACCGCCCCCAAGTTTGTGCTTCATGGTAATATCTGTTCGTTCCATTTCCCATTTGTCATGGATAGGGGACACACCATAGACGGTTGGCTTGTTACACTTGGGTGCCGGGTAGTGTAGTGTGGTCACTAGCCCATCGGCGACTGTAGAGTGGTGGTGAACAAGCTCTGCCAACGTGCTAAAGCGGCTCTCAGCAGTCACATACACCTACGGAGAAAAGGAGACTCAACAAATCCAGAAAAGGAACTATTTTTAAAAGCATACATTTCACTGGCCTACAGACGTGATATCTGCTTGTTTTCTGAGATAGGTCTTAACTATGTCCTTGAACTCATAGAAATCTACCTGCCTCTACCTCCAGGTGTGCACTACCACACCTGGTCTGGTTTTTGTTGTTGTTTTGAGACAGGGTCTCCATTCTGTAGCCCAGGCTGGTCTTGAATTTCTGACACTTCTGTCTCCACCTACAAGGCACAGGGGTCCCAGGTGGTGTGTGCTAGTGCTACTAGCACTCCAGGTTATCAGAGCTAAGACAGTAAATGTAAATGTTAGTACTCAGGGCAAGGAAAATGTCCAACACAGCTGCAGGTACACCAGGCAAACTTGTCCTTAGAATATTTCTAAGCATTAGGACTATAGACTGTGTAATTCAGCACTCAGAAAATGCCGGAGGGAAAGTATTAGGAGTTCCAGGTCAGCCTGTGCTAGAGCAACACACTACCACAAAAGAAGAGATTGTGCAACTCAACCTGAGAAGCGATTAAAATAGGCAATCAGGATCTGCTTCCAAGCTATAAAGGAGGATTTATAATCCATGGGGAACATAAACTGACAGCCACTAATTTTGAAATTAGGAAGTTATATGGGTTTAATATTTATTTAATTATCATATAATTAATTATAAATTTTATTTTTACAACACCCCTTTTAAATGTCTAGGCCATTAAGAAAAAGATATTATTGGATTTCCGAGTTATTAACAAGATGCTTGTTAATTTGTGATAATTAATAAGAAGTATAAAATAAGATAGTCTTTGGCTGTATCTTTTTTCGAGACAGGGTTTCTCTGTGCAGCTCTGGTTGTCCTGGAAATCGCTCTGGAGACCAGGCTGGCCTCAAACTCAGAACTGCCTGCGTCTCTGCCTCTCAAGGGCTGGGATTAAAGGCGTGCATCACCACCACCAGGCTGGCTTTGTCTTCTAAGAGAATATGATTTGTTTGTTTTTAATTAACTGACTGATTAATTTACACAGAGTCCCTCTATATAACCCAGTTTGGTCTCAAACTTGTGATTTTCCTGCTTCAGCTTCATGAGTGCTGGGATTAGAGTGTGTGCCATCATGCCCAAGCTACTGTTTCAACAATAAACCACTGTTTAAAACAAAAAGGTGCTTATTGTATATAAAAATGTACATAATTCGTAAGTGGAGAACTAGTGATCTTTCACAAAATAAACTCCTCACACAAGAACTATAACACCACCAGCACCCAGAATCCTTGCCTGCAAAGGTTTCCACTATATACACTTGCAGCATATGGGACTAGCTCTGTCTGAACTGCACGGCGTACAGAAGTCATGCAATGTGTGTTATCTAGTGTCGGTTCTCTTTATTAAACTATTATTCACATGCTATAAAATCAGTATTACAGTATACCATTCCATACCTTTCAGTACATTTACCGGGCTCACTAATCAATCACTGGTGTGGGAGAATTGTCTGTATTCTGTCAATCATATTTTAATAAAACGTTGATTGGCCAGGCAGGCAGTATAGGCGGGAAAGCCAGACAGGAAGTAGAGGTGGAGCAAAGAGACTGGGAGTATTCTGGAAAGCAGGAAGCTCCCTCAGCAGTTCTGCCCAGATCACCGGAAAGGAAAGATGTAAGCTGCCCCGCTGGAAAAGGTACTGAGCCATGTGCTAACGTAGATAAGGATAATGGGGTAACATAAGTTATAAGAGCTAATAAGTAGCCTGACCAAAGGGGCCAATCAGCTTTATAACTTATAAAGATCTCTGTGTGATTGATTTTCTCTGGGACTTGCCGGCTGTGGGGTACCGGGCGGGAACAGATACCCCAACAAGCCGGCCCTCATACTACAAATCACCACTATCCAACTCCATCGAAGTACTTTTATCATTTCCCACAAAAAACCCATTCCTATTAGCGACCACTCCCACACTCCTCTCCATACAATTCTCTGGAAAATATTACTCTGTCAATCCACTTTATGTGTATGAAACTCATCTATAGGAAAGTCAGAAAAATTCTCTATAAAGGGATAGAAAACAGGTATCTTAGGCTTGAGGCTATATAGGGTCTCTGTAGCAGCTACTTAGGTCTGCTTAGAAACAGAGCGTAGCTTCAGATACTACAGAAACAAATAACATGATGATACAGGGAGCCATTAGGTCACCGCTTCCTAGGAACTTGTGTACTGAACATCATGTTCATTTCTGCTTCTGTAGGAGATTCTATTTTAATAATATATGACCATTTATTAATCAGTTACATTGTTTGGGACCTTCCGGTTTGGTGTTACCACAAATACTGTGGCTGTGAATCAATTTTCTTGCATAAGTCTGGCACATATGTGTGATCATTACTGTTGTGTTTGTGTTAGGTTGTAGATGTACAGTGTCCCACAAAAGACTTATGCTGAAGGGCTTGCTGGTCTTCAGCTGGTAGGTCCAATCAGTAAGCTGCTTCTCTCTGCTCCCTTTTTAGTAGCTATGAGGTGAGCAGTTCTGTTCTACCACGTGACCCCACCATGATGTTCTCCTGACCACCGCCTGAAAATATTGGAAAAAGTCACTGCAAACAGACTGAACTCTTTGAAACCATGAGTCAAAATAAATGTCTGTTAACTATTTCTCTCTGGTATTTATCATAGAGACAAATAAAAGCAAACAACTAATAACTACTGGATCTTTCCTTACATTACAATGCCGGGCAGTGGTGGCACAGGTCTTTAATCCCAGCAGTCGGAAGGCAGAGGCAGGCGGATCTCTGTGAGTTCGAGGCCAGCCTGGTCTACAAGAGCTAGTTCCAGGACAGGCTCCAAAGCTACAGACAAACACTGTCTTGTAAAAACCAAAAGCCAAAACAAACAAACAAACAAAAACATTACAAACTTTGATTCCATTCACTTGGGCCATAGACAATACACTATGCTTGTGTAATGGTACAAAAAGAGAAAGAAAACTGGTAATATATTTCCTATGTTGTATCAGCTATTAAACTTTACAAAAATTGCTTCATTTAATCTTTACAATAATCCTAAAAAATGAGGTTTAATAACAGGCAAGGAGGAGATGGAAGTGATAGCTTAGTGGTAAACAGTGTATACTGCTCTTGAAGAGGACTGGCATTCAGTCTCAGGCACCCATGAGACTCCAGCATACAACTTCAGTTTCAGGAGACTCTGAAGTCCTCTTCTGGCCTGTGTGGTTATTGTACCCACAAGCACAAACACCCACCCACAGACACACAACACATTATACATCATTTAAAAAACTGAAAAGTAAGCAAAGTTGAAAAAAATAATAGTAGTAGACAAAGGAAAACCAGGTGTGGTGCACACCTGTAATCCCAGGACTCTGAAGACAGAAACAGAATGGCTGCTACAGCTCAAATTCAGCATGGTCTACATTGCAAGTTCCAGTCCATATGGTGGTACACAAAGAGACCCTGCCTAAATCACCAACCATCACCACCAACACCAGGCAAACTGAGACTCAGGTAAAGTCTCCAAGCTAATGAATAGTGCCCCTAGAAAGCAAAGCAGTTCTGCTTGCCCCATGGCTCATGCTTCCCTGCTACTGTGTATGTCATACAGAAGGAGGAAAGGGGGCTCAACCTAAATTAACCTTACAAAACCTGATGTAAGTTCGGGTCTTATAATTTATATTCCATTTTTATTTTAAATTTTAATTACTATTACTTTATTATTTTGTGTGTATGAGTGTTTTGCTCACATTTGTGTACTGAATGTATACCTAGTGCCAGTGGAGGCCAGAAGAGGGATGCTCAGAACTGGGGTTATAGATGGTGAGTTATCGGGTGGGTGTTGTAAACTGAACCTAGGTCCTCTGCAGAGTAGCCAGTACTCTTGATATCAGAGCCATCTCTCCAGCCCTAAACAGTTCCAGCCTAACACATCTACTCTACTGAGATTGAGTTTCTAAGTGGCTGGGTGATCTATTTATATTAACATACACTAATGAGAAGCAACCTTTACTCTGTGAACTTCCTGATTTCTAACTTTTGTTTCTAAGCACTTGGTGTGTATTTGTGCTGATGAAAACAGCTAACATGTACACACCTCTTCATTCCTCGCCTTCAAATATGGCTAACCCTTAAACTATTAATTATCTACAATTTTATCCTTATTAGCAAGTTGGTTTGAAAGATGGACTCTCTAACATGCTAACAACCCAAATTCACACAATTAGGCAATATTTTATTTTACATCAGACATAGAAATGATTTTCTCCTTTAACCCCGTTCAATACATTTCTACTCAACAGCTAGTCCACATGTACAGGTGGCTGCTGACATGTCTTACCTTGCTGTCTGTGGTGGTATTGATCCTGTAGTGATATACACGTCCCTCATACCTGAGTGAGATCGACAGCTGCCCAGGGCTGCTCTCACTCTCTCGAACCAAGAAACTGCCATTGATAAGGCTGCTGAGGAGATATTCCGCCGCGCTGCGGGACACGGGTCCATGGTACCAGGAATGCTTCTCCAGGCTGTTCACTGGAGTAATGTAGTTGCTTGGAACCCAACCCTGTCCATTCTTGGAACGAACTTCACTCCACTCTCCATTCTGGTTGTAACCAAGGACTCGTAGTTTTTCACCTAGCCAAGAAGTTATCACAGAATGAAAGGGAAAACATTAAGGCTCTTTAAGACTGAGCAGAGGAGTTTAAAACTTCAACCTCACTGAAAAATGAACCAAGAACCGTGGTGCTTGCTTACCAATATCCTGATTAGTTTCCACTCTGTGGCTTAAATCACATGAACATAACAAGAAATGGTTTCAGACAGTATAGGTTTTTAAAGGATTATGTGTCACTTAAATTGTCTTACAGAAACTACGTACTGTGCTAAGTTAGTATAGAAAGTTTACTCCAATAGCTAGAAAATGACAGTGCTCGTGTGTGTGTGTGTGTGTGTGTGTGTGTGTCCAGAAAGGGGTGCTGGATCCCCTGGGACTGGAGTAACCAACAACTCTGAGTTATTTAATACAAATACTGAGAACCGAACTTTGATCCTCTGAAGGAGCAGTAAGTGCTCTTAACCACTGAACCATCTACCAAGCCCACCCACCTACCCCTTCTTTTAAGACAGTTTCACGTAGCCTAGACTGCTGGACTTGGGCTCATGACCCTTCCTCAGTCTTCTGAATTCTGGATTATAGACATGTACTAACACCTAGATAGTACTCACTCTTCAAAAAAAAAAAAAAAGTAAAATTTACTTTCACTTAAGAGATATATATGTATGTATGTGTGTATATATATGTATGTATGTTTGTATATACACACATACACATATGATTCAGTGTTAATGATAACAAAAGCTTAGGAACAAGATGTCTGAAATAAAAAATTACTTGTATTTTCAGATGATGTCAAAGCAACAAAGCCTTCAATGTAAGCAAATATTTCCCGCCCCAACCTCTTGAGACTCCAGACCCAACAAAGAGGTTTCAGCACAAGAACTGTTTAGAGGATGGGAGGGTGGTGAAGACTCTTAAGGCACAAGTGTTTCCAGAACTCAAGGTTTCAAAGTTCCATTTTCTCGGTTTCTTCCTGTTTCCCATAAAAAAATGAATCATTCTTTCCCATTCCTCTAAAATTAGTCTGTGGAAACAGAAAATAACTATAAAGTTGGAACCCCAAATCTAAATCACTTGGTGAATCTTTGTATCAGCTTCACTCTCTTGATTAAAACTTCAATATACACTTTGTCCCATGCAATATACACTTGCAACATAGACTAGAAGCTTCTTTGTCAAAACTGATAGAGTAACAGATAGCAATGGTAACACAGATGTTCATCTAAGGACTGTAGTACTTGAGGTTCTTATTTCTAAGAGATACAAAGTTTTCTACAGAGTTCACATCTGTTAGCTCCAGAGAGCAGAAAGAAGCCAAACAATCTACAGTACAGGGCCCAGAAGATACCCAAGCCAAAACTGGTGGTGATGGGAAATTCAGACTTATCATGGTAGCCATCTATCTTTCTCCTTAGCTTACATTATGCTTACCATACCATAAAATTATGTTTACTATAACTGGAGTCCTATTAGCCCCTACCATTTCACCTGAGACACCTGGTATGAGAGAAACCACTCAGAGGTCTGTGTAGGAACTCATATATGCGTACATATTATACACTGTATACAGATAATAAGATATGAATGTCTGGTATGGCAGTGGATATTCACAAATGTGCAGATGCACAGTAGCTATATGTACAAAACAAAGGAACTTGCGAGCTGGAGAGATGGCTCAGTGGTTAAGAGCACTGCCTGCTGCTCTTCCAAAGGTCCTGAGTTCAATTCCCAGCAACCGCATAGTGCCTCACAACCATTTGTAAAGAGATCTGGTGCCCTCTTCTGAACTGCAGGCATACATGCAGACAGAATATTGAGAATATTGTATACATAATAAATAAATAAATCCTTTTTTTTTTTAAAGGACCTTTCTAGGGAAATTCATAGAACCGCTTAATATAGGTCATCATAATCAGGATAAAGTTAAAACCCCTAGGGCTTTGCCTTTTTTCTCCTCCTCTTTTTATTAGAATTCCTACTCTGGAAATCTTGACTACCATGGAAATGTGCAGGGAAGCAGACACTGAACCTGCCAGTACAGAAATCTTAGAACGTTCTTTTTATTTTTGATATGGGAAGACATAACTCTGTCATTCAGGATAAACAGCATCTGTCCCCTGGGTTCAAGCCATCCTCCTGCTTTATATGCACACAATATTGTTTTCTACAAAATTTTGATTTAAAGACAGAGTCTCATTCTGTAGCCCGCTCTGGCCAACAATGTTTTGCTTCAGTATCTCAAAATCCTAGAATTTCAAACAAAAGCCACATATCCAACACAAAAATATTTTTTGTGAAGCACATTATTTTTATTTGATGTGTATGAATGTTTTACCTGTGTGTATGTCTGTGCACCATGTATGTGTATGGTACCTGAAAAGGCTAGAAGAGTTTATCAGAATTTATGATTTACCACAAGGTGCCAGGAATTGAACCAGGGTCCTCTGTAGAAGTGTTCATAAACCATTAAGCCATGTTTCCAGCCCCAAAATTTTATTTAATTCAAGCCAACCATCACTTTCAAAAGAGTAACTATAATTAAAGTAGAGTTTCTTCTCCTTTAAAATATAAAAAGGCAGACATAGTGTCAAAGATCTTTAATTCCAACACTTGGAATGTGAAGACAGGAGGATTAGGTGTTCAAGGCTAGCAGCTTTGCATCAAGATCAAGCTTGGGTTACAAGAGACCCTGCCTCATTAATAACAACAACACAACAAAACTCAGAAGTCTGTGTAGGAACTCGTATGTGTACAACTTACATATCTTTTTAGTAGTAAGAAACTGATATAAAAATTAGGTATTAGGTTTTTAAAGAAAAACCACTGTCAATCATGAGATAAAGGGAATCCCAGTCCTTGAGCAGAATACTAATGGCTCTATAACTAGTAACTGAGAAATTAAGAAGATTTTATCAGTGTTTCCTTGGTAAATGAACTATCTTGGAAAATACTGATGAGAAAATTTTACCTAGCTAATTAAGTTCTTAATCACTATTTTGCAAACAGGTACAAAGAGAACAACACTGCCATGTAAAGGACGACCACACGACAGACATGGCTTGGAAGTCCTTTGTTTTAGCCTCAAACTTTATGTAAATAACTATAATCTCCACATGCATACCTGTTCCAACATATGCCCCCAATAAACCAAAATCTCATGCTGACCATAAGAGGGCCTGCATTCTCTGGGCCTCTGATCTGTGTTCATGTACAGTGTCTGAACACACCTATACCCCAGTCTGAGAAACTCAGTTTGGGAGCTGGAGAGATGGCTCATCACAGAGGACCTGGGCTAGATTCCCAGCACCCACATGGTGTCTTACAACCATCCACAACTCCAGTTCCATGAGATGCAACCACTCTTGAGACCTTCATGGGGCACCAGGCACACATGTGGTACACATGCAGAAAGTCAGGCAAGAGGCTGTCATATACACAGATTAAATACATGTAAAAAATGTTTTTGTTAACAAACTCGGTTTTATGGAATTCTGCTTAAGTGAATTTGATGGCACTTAAAAATTGCTATGTTGACTCTGGGGTGGTAGTCCTTCACTAGAGCACACGACTAGCTTGCATGGGGTTCCAAAGTTAGTGAATAGTTATAGAAATATTTCCTCACAGTCAGGGAAAGCTTACTGGCCTGACTTAGTATCATCATTTCCACTAAATGCTTCATTCTGAACCTTATAACTCAAAGGTATCTGTTTGAGAAATAATAGCTTGTTATAATTTCATTTAAATATTATTTTGAAATACATTTCCTCACCATGGGAGGCTTTACAGCCTACCACCCTCATCCCCACCAAAAAACAGTGCAGGCAGACTAGCCTAACCCAATCCATGTGTGAAATGAATGAGATCGTCCCCACTCTTACTCTTTCTCATAAAAGTTCCGCCATTTTCATTGGTGTTCAAAAAATAATTGGTGATTTTATCTGGTCATGTTCTAGTGTCTCCTTTAATAAGAACTGGCCACTGAAAGAATCTTATTTACTCTCTAAAGATATTACAGCAGGAGATAGACCCTCCCTAACAGTTCTCCACCAGTCAACACAGACAGGGGTTTGATGAAAGCACTGCACTACTTTCTCTTTCTCTTTTTTTTTGGGGGGGGGGGGGGGGTTTCAAGATAGGATTTCTCTGTAGCCTGTCCTGGAACTCGCTCTGTAGTCCAGGCTGACCTCAAACTCACAGAGATCCACCTGTCTCTGCCTCCTGAGTGCTGGGATTAAAGGTGTGCGCCACCACTGCCCCGCAGGTCTGGTCTACTTTCTACAGAAAGTCTTGCTCCAAAAACGGAAAACGATGCAAACTAAACAGTCTTGCGCTCAAGTGAGACGGCTGGCTGAGATTCTGGGTGCAAGCTCCTGATCTCACGGTGAACTCTAACAGTCCTCAGAAGGCAGTCAGCCCACGTGGAGCACTGGAGTACCAGTGGGCGCTCTGCACTGCAGCTGGTCTCAGTCACCATTCAGTGGAATCAGGAAACAGGTGGAAGCTAGGGTGTTTTAAAGTACAAAGTTTTAAAAACATGCATCTTTTCTTGAGTCGTTTTAACACATTTTCTTCTTAATAAATCCTGAAAATAGAGCTGATTGTTTCTGAGGCAGCAGTCCAGAAAGAGGTAAAAGAGAGAAGGCAGCGGAAGTGCCTGGTCACAAATCATGTGAAGGGTGGCAGTGGCAGAAGGCTTCATTTCTCAGCCACCAGAGAAAGCTGTGAAGCACAATTCAGAGAATTCTCACCTTTAGTGATACTGAGTGTGTTATCACCACTTGCCACGAAGTCATAAAGTGCAACAAAGAGATTAGGGTCACTCTCAGTGGCTCCCAGCAAGTTCTCCTTGGAGCTCCACCTGATGGCTTCATTCAGTGCCTGAGATTCAGCATCACAGCCATAGGGGCGGTGCAAAACTTCTGAAAGACATAAAAAGGGAAAGAAGTCCAGTGAGTGAAACAGCAAGAGCTCAGCTCAGTGCAGGGGCAGCATTTGAGCTGCGGACTCATGCTGAGAACTGTTCAGAGTTAGCTCCAGGTCTCCTTCACTGGACAGGGAATTTAAAGTCAGCCTGGGCTACCTGAGACTATCTCAAAAAACAACGTACACAAGAGAGTGAGCAAAGGTGCTGAATTACTGGGGCTTACGGCAGCAATCGACTTGTTGCAACTGTAATACTGTAGTTAGAGGAAAGACCACAGCATGAGACTTTAGTTCTGATTTACATGCAGTCACCTAAATCAGGCCTAAAGGAATAACAAAGGTGCACTTGTCTGAAAATGAGGACCACAGCTTACCAACAAGTACTTGCTAGCTTTACAAGTACTAATGTGACATTTTGCTGTAGTAATGACTTGCAGCTTTTTGGAGGTGGAGTTGAGTCAGGGTCTTAAATGGCCTCAGTCTCAAACTTGCTACGAAGTAAAGGGTAACCTTGAACTCCTGATCCTTCTGCCATCTACCCCCGCCCCCTGCCCCTACACAAAAGTGCTAGGATTACAGGAGTGTCCTTCAAACCCAGTTATTACAGAAAGGATCAGAAATATGAATGGTAAAATTAACAACTCTTCTAAACTAGGTGCTTCCTTTATGCCTTCACAGAAAAGAAACCATTGGGAAAATTTGTTTCTGTTTACAAATAACAAATACAGACACCATGCTTCTAGCAAGATAAATGCTCAAGTTCTCTGATAAACAAAACCACGTTTGAGTCAAGCATGGTAAGCTCATACCTGTAATCCATCACTCAGGAGGTATCTGACACCAGCCTAGACTACAGAGTCAGACTTCTCTCAAAAACAGTAAAGAAAGAAACATCTTTTTATGTTATAATAGCTTACAGTTGTTCACAGCCTTAATTTCTTTTAAAACTATAATCTCTTTTCCTGGGCATCAAATTTTTGTAAACTTAATCGAGGTTCTAGAAAATACCACCAATGAATGCACTTGTGAGTTTCACTTATCCACACCAGCCCTAGCCTTGTAAGATCTGTTTCTTCTCAAGGTTTTATAGTTTTCGAATCTATTCCTATCTATACCATGTTTGTTGAAAATTACCTGATTCACATACCCTAGTTTAGTTATACAAAACAAACAAATAAGACAAATAAGGAAAACAAACAAACCCAAAACTTCCTTATAGCGATTTTGATCTAAGGGCCTGTGTAAAGCGCCATTTGCCAAGGCAAACTGATCTATCTGTCCATGTCCTGTAACATTTTTCTCTTACATCTCTTTCCTAATTTTTTTTTAAATTCAAAATTGGTTTAGTCATTTTGAAGAGGGGAAAAGCTTTGAATCTTTTGGTCATGTTGTTTCAAGACATTCCTCTTCACCTCTCCTTCAACACCTTCATTCAGACCAACAGATCTCACCTGGACCACTGCCTCCAGTCTTGTCTCCCTCAACTCCATCCTCCACACAGCTGGCAAAGTCATCTATTTAAGACAAAAATTGGACCATATCACTCTTAAGCCCCTTTAAGAATTCATCATCAAACTGGAGTCTCCTCATTCCTGGCTTTCAAGCCCTTTCATGAGCGAGGTGAACCTACTTCTCTGCCCCTCTCCCCATACCACACCTTACACTTGAAGCTTTACTGGTGTTGCCTTCCACATTTGGGCCTTTTCTCGTATAATTCATTACACCTGCAGTGGCTTTTCCCACCATTCTTTTGTGTGGACATGGAGACGAGGACAGCGTCTCAGTTATTCCTCGGGAATCATGAGCCATCCCCCTTCTTTTTGTTTTTCTTTCTTTCTTTCTTTTTTGGTTTTATGAGACAGGGTTTCTCTGTAGCTTTGGAGCCAGTCCTGGAACTAGCTCTTGTAGACCAGGCTGCCCTCGAACACACTGAGATCCACCTGTCTCTGCCTCCCAAGTGCTGGGTTAAAGGTGTGTGCCACCGCTGCCGGGCCATCCGTCTTCTTTTTAAAATAGGTGTCTCACTGGCCTAAGGTTCACCAAGTACATTAGCCTCCTGGCTCCCCAACACTGGAATTACAAGTATGCCACCATGCTCAGCTTTTAAAGCAATGGGTTCCGGGAATCAAACTCACAATGTACTTCTTATGGATAATGATCATACTTTCTCCCTAAAGGTTTTATAATCTATACTTAACAGCTGCTAAGTGCACGATGCCCAGCTTACACAAAACATAAGTGACAGAAAACAATGAAATGTATCTTAAAATACACTAACCATGAGTGTAGTGGACACACCTTTAATCTCAGTATTGGGAAGGCAGAAGCAGGCAGATCTCTATGGGTTCAAGGTTGTTCAGAGCTATAGCATACATAATGAGACTCCTGACTCAAAACCAAAAAAACAAAAAACACAAACCAAAGGTACCCATTAAGTAATATTTAGAACTTGATTTTCTGTAGTCTTTAGAAGACAATAAAACCAACTTCAACACAATGATGACAAAAGTAGCAAGTAGCACACGCCTACCTTATTTTATGAAACTCAGCATCTTCAAAGTTAAGATCTGTAAAACTAATCTGAGCAAACATTCAACTGGTATTGTGCCACAAACACAAAGGCCAGAAATCACCAATGATGCTGCTGGAATTTACCAAGCAAAGCTGCTCTCCAGCCATACCCACTTCTTGTGCCAAAATTCCCTGCCTCACTCAATGGCAATTCTATCTTTTCAGGTGCTCTGGCTACAAACTCTAATGATTCGTGCCTCTGCTCTAACTCTCACAGAACACCCGAGTCCAGAGATGGCTTAATGGTAACGCTGCCTGCTGCTAAGCTTGACAACCTGGTTCCATGCACATGATAGGAGAACCGACTCTTTAAACTGTCCCGACCCTCACATGTGAATGTATATGTGTGCACACACATACAAATTAATGTAAAAATTTTAAAACATCCAAAATCTATCCATTTCTTACCTACCTTTTCACTTCTGCTAACATTCCTTCACTAGGCTACTGATTTCTGTGTGTCTATACTTGTTCCTTTGAAAGCTTAAAAAAAGCCAGATTTTGTTACTTTATGTTTAAAATCCTTCATTGGTTCCAATTTTAGAGTAAGAATCAAATCCCTAAAGGGCCTTTCAGGTCCCTCACAGTTTAATTTGCCTAATTCGTCTTCATTTTTTATTTTCTTTTTAGACAGGGTATCACTACGTAGCCCTGATTGGTTTTGAACACACAGAGGTCCACCTCTCTCTTCTTCCCCACTGCTGGGATTGAAAGTGTGCACTATCACACACAGCTTTTTAAAAGATTTTTTAAAATTGTGTGTGTCTGTCTGTCTGTCTGCACTTGTGTGTAGGTGCCTACGGAGGTGGGAAGAGTATATCAGACCCACTGGAGCTGGAATTACAGTTGTGTGCAGCCACCTGGTGCTGGCATTTGAACCCCAATCTTTGGCTACAGTAAGGAGTGCCCCTTTCTAGCTCCTGCATATTTTCTCCCCTAGTCTTATTTCAATGCTAACCACTACCCTCCCTATTACTGCTTAAACAAGACAGGTACACATCCCTGCCTTTTCCCTTACTGGCCTTTTCTTCTGCCTAAAATGTTTTGCTCCATATTTTTCTCAAGCGTAATCCTCTGAGGCTAACAGGTCCTGATGGTCCGATGTTAAAGTTCATCACTCCTAATAACACTCTAACGTACCCCAAGCTTCCTTTCCTGATTTAGTCGCCCAGTTTGGTCTACAAAACACATCACACAATTTACTTGCTTATGATATGCATGTATATTACCTAACTCTTCCAGGTGCAATGTTTTGAAGACAAAATTTTTCTTATTCATTCATTGAATAATGAACAACAAAAGCCCTTCTCCCCAGACCCAAAAGTGCTCCTAAATAAGAGGCTTTTTTAAAGAAACTTTTTTTTAAAAATCAGGCATGTGGCACATGGCTGCAACCCCAGTATTACAGAGGCTGAGGCAGAAGAATCTTAAGTCCCACATTAGATGAGTTTGCACAATATAGCAAGACCCTGTCTCCAAACCAACACAGCAAAAGGCTTTTTGAAGGAAACATCATGTAGCCTGCAAACTCACAGCAGGTGCTATTGGAGGGAGGGAGCAACAAACCCTCTAAACAGGACATAGCTCACTTTACACTGGATGTCTTTTAAATGTGATGAACAATATTTCTGTACTGCTGACTGTCAACACAAGGAAATATTCAGACATGCTTCATCTACTCTGGGAAGAACTCTGGGCCCAAAAGAGGGCTATTAAAGGCAAGTTATTATCTTCAAAACCATTTTATTTGACAAAAGAAAAAAGAATGAAGTTCACAGAAAAATTCTGTGTACATTTTAAAACTATGGGAAGAGTTAGAGGAGGGGGTTAAATATAATCAACACACACCAAAAAAAAAAAAACTTAAAAAATTTAATAAATTTAGTAACAGTCAACCAATGGTATATAGCCTTAAGTGAAGTAACAAGCAAGCACAAGGTAAATGCAGTGCCCAAGGGAAACGGCCTAGAAGAAACCCAAGCCAAGGAGACAGTCTTTCCGTTCCGAGCAAGCCCTCCCGTCTCCCGTCTCCGGCTTTTACAAATCTTCCTTCCTTCCTTCTTTCTTCCCACTCACTCTTTTGTTCTTGTTCTGAGTTCCTGTCCAATCAGCCCGCACAGGATATCCACAGAAAATACAGCCTATCCACTTAGACCAAACAAAAGGAAAATATCTTCAAACAAAAACGTCCTATTCTTTCTGAGGCCAGGATTAAGCACAGAGTTAAGAAACGATCTTAGCTGGAAGGCTGGGGAGCGATATTTAATGAAATAAGAGAGTAAACTAAAGAACAAAGCAAAAGGGAACCTAAGCCTGTGGGTGGAGGACACTGGAGCCTCCGACATCAAGGTCCAGTCTATGCCATATCTGCCACTAGTTAAGGCAGGCAAGCCCCATGAGTCAGAGGTACTGCACCCACTTCAATGTCAGTGTGTGGGCTAGAATGCCTAACTTCTGAACAATGCAAGCTGGTAAACTTAGCACATTAACTAATTCTTTCATTTAACCCACTAATATAGAGGTAGATTGAGGAAAGAAACCAGTTAAGGGCCCCAAACTTTACTTGTGTAAAATACCCAGGGAGCAGAAATATTGATAACCAAAAAGAAATAATCTTTATCTTTTCTACTGTAGAACAACACACACACACACACAAACACACACCAGCAACATACTTAAAATCCAAAATAATAAAACTGAAATACAAATTTAAATTCAGAGGAAATGTGGATATTTAATATTTAGCTTATAAAACACATTTTCAATATTAAAACAGTCAGGAATTTTTTATCATTTTCATTATAAAATTGCCAGATAGTTATTATTTTCTCAGTGTTTTCATTACTCTATACTGCTTAACATTGTTCTACTTTGATTGTATATGTCTAAGAAGCTAGTAATTTTTAATACCTCTTTAAAACTATTTTAGTTGGATATATTATTTGACAGTTTTCAATTCAGCTTAAGTTTTTCAATCAAGATATATACATCTAACATCATTTTACATATTATTTCTGCTCTTCCAGTAAGTATTGGTTAAAAGTCTAGTCTGCTGAGTATGGTGGTATATGCCTTTATTCTTAGCTCTCAGGAAGCAGAAGCAGGCTAACCTTTGTGAGTCTGAGATCAGCCTAGTCTACATAGCAAGTTCCAGGTCAGCTATCAAGACAGCGACCCCCATCTCAAACAAACAAGGCTGAGTGTAGTGGCGCACACCTTCACTCCCAGCATTACAGAGGCAGGCAGAGCTCTCAGAGTTCTAGGCCAGCCAAAGTTACATTGTGAAATACTGTCCCCCAAAACTAAACCAAGCAAACAAACCATATAAACCTTCACTGACTACAATGGATGTAAAAGGAGATTAATCCACTTTTCATTACTGTGTTATCTACCTCCACCCCATCCCAGCCCTCATCTCTAAACATACCTGTCACATGGGCCACAGGCAACGCTGAGGCATCCCTGCCTGAGCAGGGCAGCAAGGTGTCCTGGTCTCTGCAGTAACTGGCTGGAGGCAGCTGAACAGGCCCCAGGACCATGCCTTTGGCCAAGCAGTATGAAAGTTAAACTGTTCTGAACAGAGGAGCCTTAAAATACCACCTTGGCCAGCAATCCACACACGTGGGACATTTACTCACACACTCAGTGGCCAGAGGGAACAAAGGGCAAGTTCAGCCCACAGGGGTGGAGACCCGAGTAAGGGTGGAGCTACTCCAAAAACTCAGGGAGGGGGGTGAGAATGATACACGGGCTATTTCAAGTCACAACAGTAACAGTTAATAACAAAATCAGCCAAGATCAGTAGGTACAGAGTTACAGTCCCAGGGATAATGAGGTGAACCTGTTCGGTGTTTCCTTGGAGAAAGCCTGTTTCCAGTACAACACCAAACACATTTTGAAAAGACAGGAAACGCCTAACAAGACTCATCTTTACATCACTCTA